TGACCATAGTAATCATTACAATTATTTTGTTCTTGCAATTGTTGTACTCTATGACGTTGTTGATGATGATGATGTTGAAGGTGTAATTGCTGCTGTTGTGGTTGTATTGTGGCATCATCAATTTCTTTTAAATAATTATTTATTCGTCGGCCAATAAACTTTACTAAACGACAAATACGATGATTTTTTAATTCTCCAAAAAAGAATTCTAAAGCAATTTATACAAGAATGAATAAAGAGACATACCCATTTCGGTCAACATATTCATCGTTAATAATATTAATTGAATAAGGATTATGATTAAAAGTTTCCTAAAATATGAATAAATAAGTCATAATATAGTGAAACAAAAAACTTACTAGTGTTATTGCACATTTATCGTGTAATTTTAAAAAGTTACAATCAAGTTTAATATGATCTTTTTTGTATATTAATTTTAATTCATTAAGACCACGATAAGCATCCCAATTGATTTCAGACTAAAATGAATGTTTTTTTTTTAATTAAAAAAGATATTATTGAAGTTTTTTTTTACCTTATCATCATCATCATCATCATTCTTTTCAACAAAAAAATCTTTGTTTGTCATTACATAATGATAAATCGAAAAAATTTTCGGTAAATCATTAACAATATTTCATTTAATTTTTTTTCATTCATTTTTTATCTGAAAAAGAAAATCCAACAATATGTAGTTAAAATTTTTCATTGATATTCAATAAAATTCATTAGCAATAAAAACTAAATAATTGATTATATAAAATAACAAAATAATAATTTTAAAAATATCAATTGAAAAAAAACACACAAGAGACGTCTTTCGATTTAAATAATCATTTAAGTAAAGAAATTGTCTTTATCGATTTTTCATTCGTTAAAATTATGACGTCATTTTTTTTCTTTCTTACGTCTGTATCTATTCCAGATAGATATACATATGGGGATGCCCAGTCTGGCCATACACATATATTATGTATCATTGAGGATGAATGAAAAGAAACGATAAAAGACAGAAACAATGTATGGATTATATAAATAATTCATTTACATTGACTTTCTACTAGTTTTAATTTAAAATTGAATTTGTTTTTGAAAAAACTTCATCGACAAAAAGTATTTTTCTTGCGGATAAAAAATTCTTCATAAACATTTAAGTTACAACTATTAGTCAATAAATTTTTTTTTTCATATGATACAACTATTTTTCATAAATCTCATTTTATCATGTGTGAACATTTTCATATGTATACATCGATTTAAAATATTTGAATAAAATATAAAAATAACAATTTTTTTCTATCAAATACGTTTATTCTATACAAATTCAAATTTATTTAAGCAACAAATGAAAATAGTTATGATACGTCAATATTAAGAAAATAATCTTTGAAATGTTTTGGAAATCGTAGATTTGTATCTGAACATATATATCTCACTTTTGAACAATTAATTCGGGTTGCATTTCGTTTAAAATTGTATGTTACTTTCTTTAAAGGTTTATAATCGCATTGAAGCATAACACCATATGGTAAACATGTTTTCGTATCAAGTAGAAATTGTTCGACATAATCATCATGAGCTTCATCCAAAATAAGGCGTTTTAGATGAGAATATCCAATAATTAATAAATCTTGATTGGTATTTTTTAATTTTTTACATTGTTTATCCTTTTGTGCTTTTGGATTAATTATAGCTAAACGTTCCATAAATGGAAATGATTTCTGAATTCGAATAAAAAATTCTTGTTCAAAAGGATATTCATCAAATAATGATACTTCATAAACACATGTAAATAATCCACCTGGAAAATTAGTTGCGATATTTTCATAACGTCTCATTGTGTATGGATATCAGAGGTGGGATCGGTTGGCATTTTTGTCAAACCGAACCGACCGTAACCGAAAAAATCTCTAACCGAACCGAATGTAACCGACCGAATATTTAAAAATTTCTAACCGAACCGAC